ATGACATAAAATGCACTGTTTTATTTACAGTGAATGATTCAGTGGCGTGAAGCGCGTTCACAACCTTGTACAGCTGCCACCTCTATCTAGTTCCAAACCTCTTCCTCATCCCAAAATAAAACTCCGTATCCATTAAGCGGTCACTCCCCATCTCCCCATCCTCCAGCCCCTGGCAACCATCGGTCTGCATGCTGTCTGTGTGAATTTTACCTCTTCTGGGCGTTTCGTGTAAATAAAATTGCAACACACGTTTTAGCCAAGTAGTTCTGTTCCGAGCCATTGCGTTTGGCCGTTGTAGGTCCCTGTTCACTAGCACTGGTTGACAGCTTGCCATGTGCCTGCCTGGCGCCAAGTGTTCCTGAGTTTAATAATAAGTATCCTCTTGTTAGGAGGTGGCTTCTGCCCTTCTGCCCACGCGGCAGATGAGGAAATGAGGGTTAGCTCTGCGGCATAATTTGCCCCGGGGTCATAAAACCAGGAAGCCAGCCGGTGTGCTGCTCTGGGAGAGAGTGTTGTTATAAGGAGTACAGACTCCTGAGGCTGATGGGGTCTGCGTTCAAATCCCAGTCCCATCCTTAGTCCTTGTAAGAACTCGGGTACACTACTTAACCCTCTTTAAGCCTCAGTTTTTCCCTCTATAAATTGGGGATGGAAAAGGTAGCTCATACAGCTGTCGTAAGGATAAGGACTCCGTGGGACAGTGACAAAGAGGGCTTACAAGAGGGTCTGGCATTATCAATAGTATCTGAATGGTCAGTGGTGCCAGTGCTTCAGAACTGATGCTCTCACCCGTGTGTGTCTCTCTTCCCCAGGTGATGTTGGAATCCTCCGTGTACCTGACGCTGGCGGTTTATAGTGGCTGCTGCCTTCTGGCTGCCCTGGCCTCCTGCTTTTTGCCCATCGAGACCAAAGGCCGCGGACTGCAGGAGTCCAGCCATCGGGAGTGGGGCCAGGAGATGGTCGGGCGAGGGATGCACGGCACAGGTGTCGCCAGGTCAAACTCAGGCTCTCAGGAGTAGTGACCAAGGTGGGGGACTGAGGCTGTAGAGCGTGGGGAGCTGGTGGCGCCCGGCTGGGGCATCGACCGTCACTGCCGACACCAAGAACTCACCCAAGAGTACCACCTGGACCAGGGAGGCTTTTTGTCCAGACTCTGCTCATGTTTATCGAGATCCACCCGGGGATGGGGAGGCGATTGCTCTGGGGGGTTCTCTGTACACGTGGGGGAGGTTTGTTAATAACCTATGGATCTGCATGGGACAACTGCCACATCGGGAGTGCCCGGTGATGCCGGTAGCCAGCCGGACACCAGCCAGGGTCAGCCGGTCACACCCTCGGTGAATGACCACCAAAAGATCTGTAGATACAATCCAGGCCTGGACCCCTGTGAGACCCGCTGCCCGGTAAGGTGACACCTGCCACCTACTATCTGGACCAGTTCTTAGGTTTCTTCTGCACGCCCAGCCCCAGGCTTTCTTCCTGGAACTGGCAGGTGACTTGGGTGTGGCCTGAGCAGCTTTTTCTTGGGTCTGAGAAACGCTCCCTTGGAAGGGGCCCCTCGGTTTGCCTCCCCAGGGTCTGAATAGTCCCGGCTGATGGACATGCCTTTGAACCTGAGCCGCATGCCTCCAGCTGGCCCCCTCTGGGAGTGGCTGTCCCTGGCTCCGGGGAATCCCAGTGGGTCCATGGGGACAGCTGGGCTTGTACCCAATGACAACCTCAGAAAGCTGTTCCCCCAGGAACTGGGGATGGAGATGAAAACCAAGCCCACAGCCAAAGCAGGGGGCTCCCCTGCGGAAGCAGTGAAGGCCAAGCCAGGGGCTACTTTTCCGGCCCCCACCTTGGTCAGGCTGATTGGCAGCTCTTGGGGCAAGAAAACAGTTAACTCAGGTTTCAGCGCCTTGGATTTTGAGCGTGGCGGGTGGCCAAATGGACAGAGTAATGGAAAGACACTAAACCAACCACCCGCTCCCATCGGGGCCGTGGGACCAGAAGTCCTTCCTCCCTGGGATTCTCTGCAGGCCCTGCTGACCTGGTCTTTCGGCAGAGGCGGCTCCGGGGATTCCAGCAATAGGCCCCACAGCAGGGATGCCGTGGGTAGGGAGGAACGGGAGGGCCCAGATGTGTGAAACATGGACATTTTGAAAGGAAGAGAAGGGAAGTCAACTGGGTTTGGGGGGTGACCTCAGAAGGAAAGGCTGACACCGTGTCTCAGCCGACAACATCCATCTCCAGGATCTGATTTCCACAAGCCTTTTCCCCACCGTGGAGGCAGAGAAGGATGGAGGAAGCTACCAGATCCCATCAAAGGCCAAAGAAGACTGACCCTCTGCTCGGACATATCTGCTGGAAGTGAACACTGCGGGAAGCCAAATGTATACGTTCATCTCTTATTAAAACATGTTGGTGATGGACCTCGCAGGGGTTGAAGTTTGTCTGTTTGTCCTAATGTCCTAATGACAGGTCCTAGCTTGACTGCAAATAATGCCACATCCCTGAGTATATGGGCTGCAGCCTCCTTGGCCTCAGGAGTCAGGGGGTGCGGCTTGCCAGAACTTCCTCTCCCTGACACCCACGCTTCCTTGAACCCCGAGCGGCTAAAGCTCTAATTATTTCTGGTCTGCTGAGCTCTCCTGGGTAACACAGAATGTTTGCTTGTCTTTTTTGCCTTCCAGCTGGCCAGACACTGCCAGATGAGCAAGTCCACTGGCTTCACCCTCAAATAACCCGGAGGAGCTGGGGACCGCGGTCAGGAGGGGGTGCAGAAATGTTTTCCAGGGGCTGGAGTCAAAAGGCTTGTGGTCGAGGGCTTTCTCTTCTTGAGAAAATGAAAGCTGAAAAATTCTTTGGCTTCTCACTTGCCTGCCCTTTTAGAAAATCAGTATTATTGAATGATCTGAGGGCTGCCACAAAAATTCCCCAAGCATCTGAAATGCACAAGCAGCAGACCTTTGTATCTAATTTTGAATTATCTACAAGTTCCCCTTTCCATTAATGGAAATGTCATCTGTTTCTCTCAGTCTTAAGAAGGATTTTAGAAAAATGACCCAACACGTTTAATGTAGCCAGAGCTATGTGGTTTCCTTTTTCCCCTCACTTCAAGTATTCTCAGGAATCCGTAAATGAGATGTGTTGGCTGTGAGATAAGAGTGTCTTAGAGATGGCCTTTTAAGTGAATATGGATATTCGTTATTTTTTAATAATGTTAAGCAACAGAGAGCCTTGAAAGATGAGACCAAGAGTCTCCCTTGGTTACTACTAATAAAAATAAAAAGATTGGGATAACCTCGGGCTGCAAACAACAGTGAAACCAACAAATGGTAGCTTAGCCCATTAGAATTTTAATTGTCCCTTTAACAACAAGCCCAAAGTCAGACAGTTTCAGGGAAGGTCAGCAGCTCAACAATATCAAGGACCCAGCTTCCTTTTGCTTTTCCACTTCACCATCTTTTGACCCTGTGTGTGAAACCTCATGGTTGCAAGATGGCTGCCAAAGTGCCTGCCATCATGTTTATTTTCAAAGGAGGTTGAATGAAGAAGAAGCAGTTACAAAAGCTTTTCTTTCTAAAGGGTCTATTGGTTTTGGATGGAAAGGGAAGTCCTCCAGCAGATGGACCATTGCTTGGCATTGGGCAGACCTAGGTCACATGCCCATCCCAGCATGAGTCCTCCCCTCCGGCTGGAGAAGAAAGGGCCTCCCTCCCACAGGATCGAGCAATACCCATAGCCTCTTGAACACAAAATTGGGGTTCTGTTAGCACAAAGAAGAAAGGTGATGATGGTGAGATGGGAGATGGTTGAGAGAAGCCCTTGAGAGTTCTCCTCAAGGCTGTTTTAGGTGCAAGGAATAGAAATTATACTCAGACTAATTAAAAATAAGTACAGCTCTATTACAAGGCTGGGGATAGTAGTTAATTCCTGGAATATAAATGTGCGAAATGGAGGTGTAGAGAGCAGCAGGAAGAGGGGAGGACTGTGGCAGAGTAAGGGAGTCAAACTTACTGCAAAGCTACAGTCATCAAGAGAGTGGTACTAGCATAAGGACTGATATATAGATGAATAGAATAGAATAGAATTGAGTGTCCATGCATTTATGGCCAATTGAATTTTGACCAAAGGGCCAAGATAATTCAACAAAGAAAGATAAACTTCTGTAAACTCAGCAAGCGGCCAAGAATTCGTGGAAAATTTGGTTGTAGATCACCTTCAGGGAAGGAGGAGGAATGTTAGGTCAAGGAAAGTGAAGAAATCAAGCCAAATGTCACACATGTATACACATCTATGTGGACTGCAGAATTTCCCTATGCGCCTTGCATTCTGAATTTTAGAACAGAGTCAAGAGGAAACCACATTGCGAAGAGGTCCTCACTATTTTCGAAAGGGAGGGTCACTTTTTGTCTGAATGTGGACTTTCCTGGCTCTCTAAGTTTTTTTCGAGTTCACCATGTTGCCTTTTAGGTTTCCTGCTGACAACTAAACTTGACTGGTAGGGGTCGTTGTCCCTGGAGAATTTGAGGTTGGGTAATCACCTTGGTCAAAAATTAAATGTTGTGTTTCATTCGAAGCACCAGGAAGTGCCCCCAGCTGCAACCTGGTGGGAGTCGCCCGGTATTGGTCCAAATGTGGCTGTGAGGAGGAGAGAGCTGGTTCTTTTCCAGTGTGTTTGCAGAAAGAGTTGGGGAGGAAGCCACCCGATTCCTTCATAACTGTATATTTCCCCCAACCCCCGCCACCCGCCCAGCCTGGAACCCAGTGTTGCATGGTGGTTGAAAGCGAGGCACTGGGATCACATAATTTCTTGCCCCAAATCTCCAGTCCACCCCTTCCCAGCTGTTGACCTCTGTTGCTTCTCTGTGCCTTGGTCTTCTCCACTACGAAATGGGGATAATTAGCTACTTCATGGGAGGGTGGGGGTAGGTTGTAAGGATTAAATGAGTAATGTATGCAAGAGTTTAGCACTGGTACCCAGTTAGCATGCAACAAATTATAGCTGTCATGATAATTACCATCATCATTATTAGGACAGGAATTTTGAGATCTTGGACTGCTTCACCCCACTTAGCTTAGTGCCAGCCGAAATCATGGCAGATGCTTCACAAAGAACCCATTGGTTGAAATGACATGGAAAGAAACAGACAGTAATGGTGTGGACGTAGATGGTGTGGGTCAACCAAGACCTCTTCACAGCACTTAGGGTGCCACTGGTCGCAAACGCAGGAAGACTTCTCCAATCTGATCTTTCACAATAACCCCAGACAGATGAAAGTTCAACCTCAGAGGTGGAGGCAGATAATTAGGGATGAAGATGCTAAGGTGCCTACTGGGCTCATTCAGAAACATCTGGAAGCCAGTCAGCCATCTCAGAGGGTTCCCGCCAAAAGGTAAAGATGTTACATCGGCCCTCCATTGCCCTCTCAAACATGGAGTATGCTTGGTGAGTTTAGTTCTCTATGAAGGGGTTCCTTGTGGGCTCATCCCTCCCGGGACCCCTTCTCAATGGTCACAGGGGCCACTCAGTGGGCAGCTGATGCCATTAGGAGTCCTGGATGTGGAAGAGACGTCACGTGTGGCTAGTTCAATGCCTCACCTCTTCTCCCTCCTCTACCTTCTGGTCCTACCTGTAACTTATCGTGATGAAATTGGTTGCAGCATTGCCTCAAGTGCATTCTGTGGCCGTGGTGCTCTGGGCAAAAGGGTTTCCATAGCCAGATCAGTTTAAGAAGACCAGACTAAACAGCATAGGTTAGGTGTCTTTGCTGCAGGACTTTTCAGAGCCTTTAATGTGTTAGTGTGACTTGTCATCAGGATTCTTAACCTCAACTATCCTCAGTTTTCTGCTCACCTCTTGGATTTTCTGAGCTTTCCTTCCTTCTGAGGACTCACAGGACAACAGCCTCCAGCTGTTCTTGGTAACGTCGGGCCCAGAGAGGGTGGAGAGACCTCAACCATCAGAGGGGCCCCCAAGTAGAGCCAGACTCGCCTCCAGGAGTTGACCTTGTGTTTTCCTCTCGTCTTGGGCTTCTTGCGGAAAGGAGCCAGGATAGGGGTGGGGAATAAGCAAAGGAGCACCTTGATTAGTTGGCCGAGGGGAGCAGGGGGTTTCGGTCAGGGGAGTGGTGGTCACTGGTGACTTCAGAGGTGGGATGGTGGCATTTTGAGCAAATTCCTTTCTTCCAGGACTTCCCCAAAGAGCTTGGCCACCTCCAGGGCACAGCCCCAGTGGATGGTGAGCCCGTAGCCTCCATGGCCATAGTTGTGGATGACCTGGGAGAGGCAAGAGAGAAGGTGGCTGGGTCTGCACTGGAAGACTCAGGAGCTTCCTAAAGAATCCTGGGCCAAGCCCAGTGGTACCAGAGCTCCTCTGGGTACCCTGGTGGGGATCCTGGGAACAGCAGTAAGGGGGGTGTTTGGGGAGCTGGAGGTCAATACCCTAGACTCCCCTTCTGCTTAGGAGATGGACTTGTGTTAAGTACTCAGCACAGGAAAAGTGGAATCATCTAGAACTTGAGGTCAGATATTTCCCCCTCATCCCAGCATCAAACTATCTGAAGTTCCCTAAATCCCCTTCCTGGTTCCCATCCAGCTGAACCTCCTGTGTTAATAGACAGCCCCTTCTCCCCACCTCAGGAGGGAAGAGCAGGGGCCACAGTATGGGTGGACTCTGGAGAGAGGCAAGACCCCAGGGACCTTTTTCAAAGCTGAAACCATCAGCAGGCAGTTAAACTCCATATGTGACTCTCCCCCCAGCCCCACCACACACACATATGACCTCTATATACACACATCACATACACAAAACTCCTCTATACACACACCTCACTATATGACCAGAATAAGGGAGGAAAAGTGACCTAGACTCCTTCAGCCATTTCGATAAGCCCAATCCGTACCCTATGAGAGAGGACAAGAGAGGGGACCCCAGAGAGATGATGGGGCAACCACAAAATGGACATCTGGGAAATGGCTTTGGACTCAAATTCAAACCCCATCCCAGCCTTGGCCCTTGCCTGTGATCTGATTTAGCCAAGTGATTTCTACTTCTGGGAATCCCAGTTTGCTTATCTGAAGCATGGGGAGAATCTATCCCAAAGAGCTGTAGGGGAGATTCAATAAGGTCATTCACATCATAGACACAAAGCAGATGCTCAGTAAATGCCCCCTTTCCTTCTACTGGACCAGAGGCTCTAGCAAATTTAGGTGCTTCCTTCTGTATAACCTTGAGCAGGTCCTTTACTTTTACTGAGCCTCAGTTTCCCCATTTATAGAGGAGGGGATACCAGCCACTGCTGCTCCTGCCTGAGGTCAGACATGATGTTTCCCTGGAAATATCTGAGCCCTCTCAGAAGTCGGGAGAGGAGTCGGGAGAGTCTCCTTGCTAGGAGACCATACCTCTGTGTTTGAAGATCCAAAGTGAAGTTGTTCTCTTTCTAGTCGAACCTGGGGACGTGCTGGCCGGAAGCCAGTCCATTCACCAACAATTTCTGCATCCTGGAAAGAAGAGTGTTAGTGATTCATATGTGAATTTTTTTTTCTGATGCCATTTTTAGGTGATAGAGAGACAGCTTTAGGAACCTCATTACCATCACCGCTGCCACCGCCACCACCACCACCATCATCACAGTCACTTTTCTTAATGACCACTACACTCACTACCAACATCCTTACTACCATCTCACTACCAATGCTATCAACTATCCCATCTTTATTGGCCACCATCACCACCAGCCACCACCATAATATCACCTCATCAAATCATTATCATCACCCTCCGTGTTTTCGTCACCGCCAACACCAACCATTAATTTCATCCCCACCCTTACCACCATTACTATCATCATCACCATTAGCAGGCAAATGTGAAAACTGAGATTTCTGCACCCAATACATCTGCTCCTTGTGAAGACAGATTAAGGTATTTGGGAGATGCCACCTCAAGAGAAATCAATTCTGAGCCATGACCAGATAGGTTTCACCAGCTCACAGTAGGACTTCCCTGTACATGGTCAGATTCTAGTGTCTTCCACTGTCCCTTGTTGGAATTATTTTGCCCAATTACCCCAGTCATGATATCTTCCCATCCTCAAGTGTCCTTATGATCAAGCTGCCAGGATCCTGGTCTAGGGCACTGATGTCTCTCCCCACCTGACCTTCAGTGTGGGCTCCAATCTGCAGCAACCTTCCCAGATGGTGTTGTGGTCCTGGATATTGTTTGTCTCACTCCAGTTCCCCAGCTGGAAGATGCCTCCAAGAGTCACTGCCTGGATCCTAGATAAAAGTGAGCGGGATGACAGATGAGGGAAAATGAAGACTTTGAGATAAAGCGGGAGGGGGATCATTGCTATGCTCACCCTTAACGCCATGTCTACCTAAAACACTAAACATTGACATTACCATCCTTGCTAACAATACCATCAACATTACTGCAATAGATGCCATCATCCCCATCAACAGCCACCTCCATCATCACCACTAAGATCACTGTCCACATTGTCATTCCTTCTATGGACAACATGGTAATGATAGTTAACAACACTGTATTATACTCTTGAAAATTGCTGAGAGTAGACCTTAAATGTTCTCCCCCCGACCCCCACCACCCGCACACATACAAACTGTGATTATGTGAGTTGTTGGATGTGTTAACTAAACTTATGTGGTCATCATTTCACAGTATATACATATAGCAAATCATGTCATATATCTTTTTTTATCATGTTGTATATCTTAAATGTACACAATGCTATATATCAATTATATCTCGGTAAATCTGGGGAAATATTGTCATCTCCAACAACAACATTATCTTTACTACTGTCTTCTTTGCTACCATTAATATGTCATCACCATCATCCTCACTCCCCATTTCCACCACCACCATTAGCATCACTATTGATATGTCACCTCCACCACGCCACTAACATCGCCGTTGAGACAGTCAGCACAGTCACACCATTAACATTGCCGTCACTGTCAGCTCTGCCATGCTATCAACATCACCATTGATGGTGTAGTCTCCATCAGCACCAACTACCACCCCCACTCCCAGTCACTACCCTCATCTACACGGATCTCATCTACAACAATCCTATCTCTACTACCACCACTGTTCTGTCAATAGTTAGCATCGTCAGCTCCACCGCCACCCCATTATTGCCACTCACAACACTGCTGGTCTCACTGCCATCATATCAGCTACCTTTGTCTCTAGCATCACAAGTACTGCTACCCAAAAGCATGTTCAAGATAGAGATGGGTTAAGGCTGAGTCCTGCTTTCCCAGAGATGTAATGGCTCAACCTCATTTAACAACATTGGAAGAACAAACCTGAAAAGACTAAGCAAGGGACCTGGGCAGACAGTGGCGGTGCATAAAGAGGGCAGGAAGGTGCCCCCACGTCTGCCCTAGGATGTCAGATTTTTACCCCGGGATGATGTACGGGGACTTGTAGATGCCTCTCTCTGGGTCATGGGTGATAATGAAGTGCTTTATCCAAGGAGCATCCACCTGTGGGTTGAGGATGCAGAAGTTTTGTCAAGAGGGTTAGATCAGTGGGTTCCCCTCCCCTGCACCCCTCTATCACCAGATGTTCTGACAAGAGTGGCAAAGCTGATTCCTTAACCCTCCCAAGTCCCCTCCCTCCCAAATCTGCACCTCCCTGCTTGCTTTTGCAGGAGGAGCTGCCCTAAATGCGAGCCACCCCTGCTTCCCAAAGCATCACACATTCTCATCCACAGAAAAGCTCAGCACACATGTGTAAACACACACACACAAGAGCCCCTTCTAAGGAAGACACACCTATGAATGCACTCATGTACACTCACATGTGCACACCCACAAACAGGCACACAGTAAGAGGTGGTGTGAAACCATGAATGAAACACCCAGGCTGTTAAACCAGGTTGCCTGGGTTATAATCCCGGTTCCATCACTTAACTGCGATGAGAACTTGTGCATGTTACTTAATTTCTCTGTGCCTCCATTTCTCCATCTGTAAGATGGCAATGGTGAGACGATGGATAGTATACATCTCAAAGGGTGGCAGTAAGGGTCAAATTAATTAACACAACGAAGTGCTCAGGCTTGTGTCTGGCACTTAGTAGACACTCCATAAATGTTTGCTCTTTAGTGCGATACAGGCCTAGGCAGCTCCTACATATGTACAGACACACACACGGTTTACTAATAAGAAGAGCCCCGCCCAGAAGAAGAGTACATTTGGAAGGATCATTTGGTTCTTGTTTCTTTGACATGTCCGTTCCATGAAGTCTAGGGGGTTCCTCTAACAGATGTCCCCGATTCATCCTCCATCTCTGGAGATGAAATAAGCAGGCAGAAACAACCTTTCTATCAACAAAAGCTCATCCCTCACCTTCAGACTTACCTTAATGATCTGCCCCCGGCCTGGCTGCAGCAGGGGGTCTGGTTGCAACGCCCCAGCCCACACCCCAGTGCAGTTGATAATCACATCGGCGCCTCCTCTTGCCACCTGGTAAAACCAAGAGGGCATGTGGGATGGGAGGAGGTGAGGACCCTAAAATCCCTTGCCTCCTCCTCCTACCCTGCAGCTCTCTGCTCCCTGTGGAGCAGCTGGGAGGAGGCTCAGTGAGGAAACCATGGGCCTGCCTCCAAATCTCCCTCTGCCGTTTACCCACGTTGTGACCTCAGAACTGTCCCATCACCTCCTTAAGGCTCAGCTTCCTTAGCTATAAAATGGGCCCGGTAATACTTGTTCATAAGCTGCTGGGAGGCTCCAGTGGGACTCTGCATGTAAAAGAGTTTGGAAAGGAGTCGTGCAGAAGAAGGAAACCTTCTTGGAATCTTCCAGAAGTCAGAAAGGATGCAGAGATAGTTTCCGCCCTCCTTCTGTCTCCCTTTTATTTCATTCTCTTGCCTCCTACTCGGCCAAGGCATCTGCGGAAGGCACGTTGGAAGCCCCAGCTCCGTGCATTGTATGGGATGTCCCACAGCTCAAGGATGTGGCATCAGGGGTACCAAACTCCCAGCCCAGCCCCCGTGCTCCTTCTACAGGTCAGTCCTGGGACGCACACACACCCATCGCAAGGCACTGCTATTGTTCATGAGCCAGCGTTTGCCACACTGACTGTGAACCCCTTGAGGATGAGAGCTGTGTCTAAGTCAACTATGTATATCAAGTGCCCACCGGGGCTTGACCTAGAGCAGATGTTCATATATGTTAATGGCTGCAGGTGCCAAGCGTCTTCCATGTGCCAAGCACTGTTCTAGGGGCTGGGCTGGAGTGAAGTCATACAGCACAGCCCCCAGTACATAGACAGTGCTTGATGACGGTAGCTGCTAGCATCATCATTACTGGTGGTGGTGTTTCTCTGGAGGTAAGTCAGTTGAGGGCCTTGACTTTGTAGGAACATCAACTCAGATGTTGGTAAGAAGCAACCAAGTGTCAGGAACTTGGGATCAGGTGCAGCTGACATTGAGATGGGACAGCCAGCTCTCTGGCCCTAAAACTCACACATAGCCCCTAATGGCCACCGTGATCCCACTGTCTCTTTGCTCCTGCCACCAACATCAAGGCAGAATGCCTGAATCATTCTGAGATTTAAAAAAAAAAGGTCTAGAATCTGGAGCAGGACTCAAAGGGAAACTGGAAGCCTGAAAAGGCACCCCTCACAACCCTGCAACCGGAAGCAAAGGCCTCCCCTCTGCTCCTCTCTCCTACATCCAGGCCCTCCAGCCCCTCTAGCCCTTCAGCTCACCTCCTCAAAAGACTCCACCTTCCGCAGGAAGAATTTCACTCCCCTCTCAGTTAACCTGGGATAATCAAAAACATTGAAAAGTCCAGCATTCAGTTCTCTGTCCCATCCTTCCAAGAGGATGGCCTGGGGGACATTTCCCAAAGAACCTTCTGTGGATGTTAGTCCCCCAGGATGCTCCTCGAGCATATGGCTGTACAGTCCAATGAGCTCACGAGCACCTTGATGGACCAGTGGTCCATGAAATGTGTCTTGGGAAACCTGAGATGGTCCAATCCACTCACTGGGCAGATGGAGATGGAAGAAGGGCCTTTCTGAAAGTCATGCAGTGAGTCAATGATGGAATTGGGACTCTTACTACCATCATGCTGCTTTGTAATATCAAAGGGGATGAGATGCTGGGTGGAGGAAGGATGGGGTTGGACCAATGCCAAATGCTCTTTTGGCAGAAGCAGAGCATGAGGAAGGAAGTGGGCTGGAGACACTCACACTTCCCCCTAAACTTCACAGAGGAAAAATATAGGTCACTATTAGGAATATAATAGAAACATTAAAAGAACAGGAAGTAAACCATATACAAGCTGAAGCATGATCTCAGGATTATTTCATCTGCATGGTTTCCTCAAGGTAGAAAAACTGGGAGCATTCTTTCCTGGGTGAGACAGGACAGGAGTCATAAGTGTCCCAAAGTTAGGAGAAATAACCATGTTTTAATACAGTGGTTTCCAAACCTGGCTGATTATTATAATCCCTCAGAGAACCTCTTAAAATACAAATTTCTGAGCCTCACTCCAGAGAATCTGATTCAGTAGATATAAAGTGGGGTCCTGAAATCTACATTTTAAATCCCAAGTCACTTGATAAAAGCCACTGTCCACTCCAGAGTTTTAAAAATCTTTATAAAATAATAATATGTAGGAAATATATGGAGTCTTCCTTAATAGAAATGTATGTGACTGTAAATACAAATGTATCTCTCAAGCTAATGTTTGCTAATTTAGAACACTACAAGATTCCTATCAACATAAGAAACAAGACAGGGTCATCCAGTATCATCTTTTAATGTTCTAGAGGTACTGGCCACAGCAGTTGGACAAGAAAAAAAATGAAGTATCAAAATAAAAGCCAACTTAGGTTTTGTAGGTGATGTAAATATATGTGGAAAAATTAAGAGAATCTATCTAAAACTATTACACAAACATCACAGATTTTAGTGAGGCCGACAATAAATGTCACATGTAAAGATTTCCCAGGTAGTTCCAACCAGGTGTGGGAACCATTGTCAGTGCACAGAGGTGGTCAGGACCAAGGATAGCTCCCACTAGACTTCAAGGTTTTCACCATCATTTGGATTTAGTCAGTATATCCACTATACCCCCTGGTCCCTGGGAGGTGCTTTCCTCAAAGTGAAGCTGGAAATCTCACCTTTCAGTTAGCCACTGCAGATACCTCCTCCCCTCCAGAATCAGGCTTGTGTTGAACCAGCCATAGCTAGAATCACCATGGGCAAAAGGTAGGAATAAAGGATCAGAACCAGAGTTATATTTGAAGGCTATCAAATGCAGGTGGGAGTTGTCACATTCTTGGGCTTCACCAAAGGGGAGAGCAAGGACCACTGGGTGACATTCAAGGGGGAAGTGGTGTTCAGCTCAAAACAAGGAAACATTTTCTATCAGACAAAGCCATCCCTGACACTGAGATGGGCAAGTGGAGATTTAGGTGCATTTGTAGAGGGGATTCAGACATGGGATGAGGTGAGGAGAGGGCCAGAGAGGCATCAGGCTGTAGAGAAAGGAATAGAGGGGTTTGGGCTGGGTTGGAATCCCATTCTGGTCAATTGGCTGTGTGACCTGAGCAAGTGACTTGGCCTCTCTGAAGCTCAGTTTCCTCATCTACAAAATAGGATACTGGTATGGAGCTTGAGATCCATGATCCTGTATGCCCTGCCTCCCTACCCTAAGTTGCAGTTTGGGAGGGTAGGCGCTCCAAAGGAGCTGGTTAGAGCAGTGAGAGACCAGGGTACCAGGGCGTCTAGGACTGGGATGGAACAGGAAATTTGGTGCCTCCATCTTCTGGACAAGTCTATCTGAATTATGGTGCCTCAGCCCCTTCACCTGTGACAATACCCTTACCTATAATCGGGAAAGTTGTCCAGTTCTCTGGGAGTCAGCTTCCTAAATCCCAGAACTATGTCCTTCCAGTAAGGATCCTTTAGAGGAAGGAGAGAAGAAAGCGCAGTGTTGGATGAACATGAATAAGAATGATATAACCAAAACCTACGTAATGTTTTCTGTGTGTAAGGCATTGTTCCAAGCATTTTACTTGTGCCAATCCATTTAATTTGCACAACAACCCATTGAGGTAGATACTATTTTTATTCCCATTTTACAGATGGATCTATTGAGGTTCACAGAGGTTAAGCAACTTGTCTAAGGTCATACAGCTAATAAATGGTGGAACTGAGATTTGAACCTACAGAGTTTGGCTTCAGAGTCCATGTTTTTAACCATGATGCTATATTAAGGGTAAGAACAAAGCTGCAGATAAGTAAGGCTGTCACAAGTAGGGAAGGAAAAATGGAGTGAGGTTCACCAAGCGATAAGAATGGGCGGTAACAGAATGTAGCGTCAGACAACCCAGGGGAAGATTTTGGCCTCGCCACTGACCACCTTGAATTCTCTGATACTCAATTTTCTTGTCTGTATAATGGGGTTAATAATCACTCTTGGGGGGCTATAGCTGATGAAAGTAAGGCCCTTTGCATGTGCTAAACATTGGACAAATCTTGGAGAGCTGACATGGGGTTCTGGGCACCCCTAGACCACCCGTTCCAAGAAACCCGAGAACACCCGCGCTTGGCTCCGCCTTTCATAACACATGGGGCACCCTGTGGTCACAGACTGCCTGGGCTCAAATTCCAGCTCTGCCAGTTAGAGCTTTGTGAGCTCAAGGAAGTCACTCCATTTCTCTGAGCCTCTTAGATTCTTATCTGCAAAAGGAGGACAATGATAGCCCTTAACTTTCTGGTTATGATGAGAACTGAACGAGTCGCTAGTTAAAAAGTAGTCAGGACAGTGCCTGGTACATAGTAAGCACTCCAAAGTCTGTGCCATGGTAAATGTTTTAGTCCATCTTGATGGAAAGTCCTGGAAGCCCCAGGGGAACAGGAAACCTTTTGGCTTCAGCATAAAGGGCCCACCACTATAGGATGTGTCTCAGTTTGACCCATACCACTCAAAAAAGGGCTACACACACACACACACAAAAGGGGCTACCTCCCCCTGTTCATCAGAAGCTTCTTTGGTGTCTGCCAACTTAATAACAAAGTTGAAAATAAGCAAAAAAAAATTTTTAAGGAAAAATAAAATTTAAAAGAAATCTGTTTTGAATGCGGGAGTCTTTGCCTAAGAGGCTCAAAGGACTCCCCAGACTGGAGGCCCCAGCCCTGGTTTGTGGTCAAGGACCTTGTCACTCACCGGAACAGCTTCACGGAAGAGGTTGTAGCCTGAGACTAGGGCCAGGCCCATGTTTGCAGCGTTGGGAGAATTGATGTGGCTCAGGAGATAGTTGAAGGTCTGCTGGTTCCAAAGCCTGGAAGGACGGTCCAGAGTCTAGGTCACCTAATTCCCTGGGCTGGATGAGAAATCTCTAAGGGTCGGCTTGTGTGGGGCTGTGAGCCAGCTGGTGGGATGTACCCAGATCCAGAAATCTACCACGTTCACTCTGCAGTGTCCCAAAGACTACGGCTCTCCCTACTCCCCAACTTTCCACCATTTCCCCACTAATAGGACAGAGAAGACCGGAAGCAAAGGATGTGCCATCACAGCCATTAGAAGCTCACATCCGGCTTGGGATCATGTAGCCGCTCATTTAAATAAAAGCTTTGACCTGCTTTGGGGACTGTGAGACACGTAGTTCAGGCTCACTCTGGGCACCCTGACTGTAAGTGCCAGGGGCAGACATCACTTACTGCTTCTAAATGCTTCCTCTGCCTCCTGGGCACACAGCTCAACATTTCCCAGGCTCCCTTGCAGCTCAGGGTGGCCAGGTGGCTGCATCCTGGCCAACTGACCATAAAGATTCCACCCACGTGGTCTTCATGCCGTGCTCCTTCTGTGGACGCTGGCCCATGAGAATGGCAACGTTAGAAGCCACATAGGAGGATGGCAGAGCCACACGTTGGAAGGAGCCCGGGCCCCTGAATTGCCACCCACTGATCAGGAATATTGGTTGTGGCATTGATGGGAGTGAGAATGAAACTTCTGTTCCAGCCATTATTCACTTGAAGGTTCCTTTTTTTGCAGCAGCTGGTGGTTTTGAAACTAACAGAATGACCTCTGCAACTTCTTTGCTAAACCTGAATATCGATCCACCCATTTAGAGGTCTTCCTGATTGGCGGATGCATAGGGCTTCGGCAGCCAGCCACTTCAGGGGAGGAATGCACACATAGTCTCCGTTTGTCAGGCACACATGGTGTCTCAGCTTTTGGCCAAGATCAAGTGTAGCATTTATCTTGGCCACAGTAGGGACTTAATATTAATTACTATTTTCATCACAGCATGTCAGACCAGAGCCTCCATGAGGGGTTGTTCTTGGTGATGGGAACACTGAGAGGGGACATCCTCCATGCAGACACAGCCCCTCCAGCCCTGGACCACCCTCTGGGACCCTTACTCACGCCTCCTGGGGGTGGCTGGGGTCGGAGATGTACGGCTGCCAGAGGCCGGCAGCCACATCGGTGCTAGTGAGCGGGGTAAAGCGGTCCGCGTAGACCTTCACATCCAGTGACTGCAGTACTGGGCGGTAGCACTCATGGATGCAGAGGGCAGTGGACAGCCCGATGACGCCCGCTCCGATCACCACCACGCGCATTGTGCCAGCCTGCAGGAAGGGAGGATCTTCATCATCACCACCATTGCCACATCCACTGGCGGCTTAGAAAATGCCAGACACTTGATCCTCTCAGTGACAGGTGGGAAAATTGAGGCGCATGAGGAGGCAAAGCAATTTGCCCAAAGTCACACAGCTGGTGAGTGATGCGGCTTTCTCTGGGGAGCCTCCTTGAATACCCTGTCCCCAGGCCAGGAAAATGGAAAGGACCTAGCAGACTGCCTGGCCAGCTGTAGGCTGGGTGGTCTAGTGGTTAGGGCTTCAAATCTCAGATCTCAGCTCTGCTGCCTGCTGGCCATTGACCTTGGGCAAAATGCTTCTCAAGCCTCAAATTCTTCTTCCGGAAAATGAGAAAAATAACTCATGCCTCAGAGAGTAGATGGGAGTTTTCACAAGATGGCAAATGTCAAAACTTAACAAACTGTCTTAACAGTACCAAAGAAGCGACTTACTGACATTTCTGGAGTGCCTGCCATGTGCCAGCCCCCGTGCTCAGTGCTTCCCGTTTCATCTAAGTCTCCCAACATTCTTACAAGACAGGGGCTGGTGTTAGTGGCCCCATTCTACAGATGCGGAAACAAAGGCTCAGAGAGGTCAAGTAAGCTACCTGAAGTCACACAGCCAGTAAATATTGCTGCTGGGATTTAATTTTAATTCAAGTCTACTTGACATACACTAACGGCACACCTACAGTGTGCCACGCTGGCAGCTGGTGGATATAGCTGTGAGCATGTTGGACGCAATGCCTGGTCTCAGAACTCAGGTCTTCCAGGGCATCCCCTCCAGGCCGGCCTCAAGGTATTAGGCCGGCTGGGTCCTCAGAAGCTTCGAAGACCTAGGAGCTTTTGACCTTGAAGCAGCTTGGGCCCCGCACAGCAGGGACATATTCTGCCGGCTCCTGCTGAGGCAGAACAAGGGGACTTTTTGTGCCCGGAAGGGCCAAATTCAACTTTCCCTCCTCTCTGCACACAGCTCTCCTCCCACAGACCTCGCCTCCTGGCAACTGCAGCCTGTGGCCCTGAACGGCAGGACATTCTCAATACGGCCTAGTTTTGTAAAGGGGAACGCAGCTCCAGCCCACAAGAACTGGACTCCGTTGGGTTTTCAGCAGCCAAGTTGGAGATAAAACCCCCAAAGGGAAAAGCATCATTCCTCTGGGTGGTTCTTCTTTCAGCTGCGAGCTTGGGCTTGGGTGCAGGGGCGGACCCTCTCAGGGACCCCTCACCTCCTCCTCCATCCTTTGCCTTGGGAGATGCAACCTCCTCAGCTGTACAATAGGGTTAACCCCATCTCATGGGGTCATCCTGGAGGTTAAATGACTAGCTTGGTGAAAGTTCTGGTACAGGGTCCAGCCTCAACATGTAGTGGCCTGCTATCCCCCAGCACCTTGAAAATAGCAATGGAAAGAACATCGGATGTGGAAGAAGAGACACAGAAGTCAGACTTGGCTCGACTTCTGGCTTGCTGTGTGACCTTGGCCAAGTGACTTCCCTCTCTGGGCTTTCTGACTGTCTCTGTATAACCTCTGGAGACTTGACCACTTTTGGACACTGACAACAAGAAGGCATGAATAGAGGGCTTTATTTTCCAAATTCCCTGTAATGAAGCCAGGAGGTGGTATGGCATGGGGAGGTGGCAATAACAGCCCAGGTGGGGAGGGGGAGGGGGCAGACCTGCTCACACGCACAGTCAGGCTCTAGCACACGCCCGCTGTGTGACCCTGGGTAAGTCACTTAACTTGACTGAGCGAGAGAAAGAGCCTTCACATGATGCATCTCTGATGACAAGGCTGGTCAGGCATAGCAAAACCTCTGATTAGGAGCAGTGGCTCATGCCCGAGAAAAGAGCATGAGGGTAGGGGGGAAAGAGACTCAGAGAAAGTTCTGTAACCAACTGGCCAAGATCAAGAGGGATGAGTAACAGCGTGGGGCTCAGTTCCTCCAGCGTGTAAAATTCTAAAGATGCAAGACGGCATCGTGCAGAAGGGGAAATGGAGGCGTGGAGCAGCGGGACAGGTCTGCCCAAGTCACGTTTGTCATCAAAGGATTTGCAGAGCCTTAGAGTTAAAGGGTTAAAAAGTCTCTGCGAAAGAAAAGACCTGATAACTAGTAACGTGGGGATAACAGCAAGAGCTGCTAGCGTTTCATCTCCTAGTAAGTGTCACTCACTGTGCTGAGGATCTGACGTGCATCCTCTACTTCAATCTTCTAACCATACTTGGGGATCTCATGATGCCCATTTCACAGATGAGGCAACTGAGGTTCAGACACCAACTGGTGAGAAGCAGAGCTCAGGCCAGCCTGCCTCCCAAGGCTGTGTGGTTACACACGGTGCTCTCCCACTGGCAAATCCCATGACTTAGCAAAAAAAAAATCAGATCAAGCAGATGAAGAGAAACAGCCAATGCTTCAGGGTCTCGCATTGAAAAAAATAAAATAAAATAAAATACGAGTGTAGGAATTTTTAGTACATTACTGGTAGGCATAGAATTGAAAAGGAAAAATGTGTGTCCTAAGTCGATTATCTTAGTAAACTACATGAATCAAACTTGATACTGATTATATCAACT